TTGCAAAATTCCGAGTAGGTAGGTGGAGTGTGGCAGTAAGTGGCGGGCAAAGAGGAAGGAGTTGCAATGTTTTTTTTTTTTTAGCTTATAGAGCAAGTGATTTAGTGTGAAACGACGCAGAATACATTTTAGAAATATGTACGTAGATATGGCAAACATGAAGGCTAAAAAAATATAAGAAAAAAATTTAGTCAAAAAACTCTCACGGTCTTAATTAGAAATTAATGAAATATTAAAAAAAAATATTTAGGCGTGTACACAAAAAAAAGGGGCGTACATGACGGGGCGTATGAGGAACTTAACAATTTTTCTTCTTCTGCGTGTTATGTGCATATGTACGCATTTGTGTATATGAAATCGACATTTTCTCCAACAAATTTGGAACTTCGTTCAATGAAGCCAATATGGAAAGCAGTTTCACTTAAACACTACTAATAAGTCCGTATTTTTAAGCAACCAAATATTAACCAAATACTATTATTAATAGCTTAAGAGAGTTACTCGAGTTATATTCTCAGAAGTTCTCACTCTTTTCTTGAAGTATTTCAATCGTGTATTTTAAAACTTTATTTTAGGAAGAAAACACTTTATAGGCATACATATATTCGTTGCATTTTATTAAAACCACTTAAGTGACTCTAGAATAAAACAAAAAATTATTTTCACTTAATAGATTTAACATTTTTATTAAGCTTCTATTAAAAGGGCATCTTTAACTACATTCATCTGCATATTTCTAGTGAATTGTAGAAATATTATTTGGGAACCCAATGAAATATTGCCTTGAAAGGAAATGGCCAAATCTATTTATTAATATGCCAGCATAAATTTTGCCCGCCTTTGTTAGGCGTTTTTACTGGAGAAATCGGAATGGTTTTTATAGTTTCAAAATTGTTTGGTTTTTTCCATATTAATTTTTTTTCGCTTCGAATACGAGCACCAAGGCGAATACGAAGATGAATGCGGCGACTAACACCAACATGAGAGCAAATACGAAAATTAATATGAAGACCAACTATGGGGCGAGAAAACGAATACGAATACGAATATGAACACGAATATAAGGACGAATACGAACAAGAATACGAACACGAATATAAGGCGAATACGAAGACAAATACAGAGAAGAATTGAAAGGCGAATACGACACACATGAAGACGATAATCGAAACGAATATAATGGCGAAAACTAATACGAATATTAACACGATGACGACTGCGCTGACAAGTGCGAAGTACAATACAAAGACGTAGGCTAATATGACTGTGAAGACCAACCGAAGACGAATATCAATAGAAGGACAAATACGAAAACGAATACGAATACGAACATGAATGCGAAGTGTAATACGGATAGAAATAAGTAATACGAAGATGAATACGTTTACGGAGATGAATACGAATAGGATGCAGAAGTTTAAAACGATGACGAATATGAAAACAAAGACTAATATTAGGCTTACTGCTTTCGTTTTTATGTTTTCACAATCTGTTTTGCCTCGTATTTTTATATTATTTTGTTCCTGCTTCTACCTGAAGAGTTTGTATGGTTCGAAAATTCTTTGTCTGATTATCAAAAAGTTTTTATAAATGACATGATTTAAACTTTAGTGTAAAAAAAAATTTAAAATATATCGCTAATTTATTCATTAGTGTCATAATCCAAAGTTGGAAGAGTTGTAATAGGGCATAATATGTATAAGTATGTACAGCAAAGGTGGCGTGGAAACGTGTGCATATTATGACGATTACAACTCTTCCAACTTTTACTTTGAATCGTTATATCTGGGAAATGGTGGCTCTTAGGACAAGAAGTATTTAGACATTTTTAATAGATAATTATCTGGTATAAAATTTTTGTCTAAACTAATTTTATGAAAAACTTGCCGGTTGCTGAAAATCTAGATTTCATTTATGATGGTGTTTTGAACAATCCTACCAATTTTCAGCTGGATGGGAAAGTTTTGTAACTTCACTCCTATTTTTGCTCTAATTTGACCGGACTAATATTAAAACTCATATTTTTTTCATGCATAATTCACAAACTAAGTAGCTTTCGAATTGTACTAATAAATTGTAGAATTCTTTACAAAAGTATACACATCTAAAGGCTTAGAAAAAATAAATGTTTTTTATCTTCGATAGAAAAAATACTCCTCTCAACAATAGGCTTTGCCAAATAGAATTGTGTTGCATGTACTTATGTATGTATAAAAGTAGTTACATGTATGCACACATATAAGCAGCGCCAAAGTAAACAAACGTATTAAAGTATTACTAAGTATTTTTATAAAGTAGCCTAAGCTTTTATTGTATGTATTTTTAAGCCGTTGTGGCGCAAAATAAAATAAAGCTTATTTAATTGAAATGTAAAGGAATAGCATATTTGTGAGAAAGAAAACAGAGGGAAGTGAATACATGCGCAGAGAGAGCTAAGAGAACATATTAAAAAAGTACTTATTTTAAGCAAAAATTTTAAAGTATTTGTAATACAGTATAACTTTTGGAATCAAATAATGTGAATAAATATCTAGTACACTTCATTGCGAATTGCGTAAAGTTTGGAATACAACTCTCAAGAAAAATCACTAGAAATATTTTTCATTATTTCTGTTGCTTGAAAATGTATTTAGTCGTTGCAGTTTTATTTTATTTTTTGAATTTTGTGCTAAGTGCCCAACATACTAACATACGTGTTACGGACTTATGAAATGATCAACAAGTATATGCAAGTATTTGTAGTTATTTACGTCTCTTACAAAGTGCAACATGTTGAGCTATACTCGCATAGAGTAGTGTACTACTCTTCATACATTCATACTTATATAAGAAAGCTTTGACGCATCTGACTATCAGCTACAAGTGCTCACCGCATAAAATTGCAATTTACAGTTAAGTCCATAATGTATGCGTAAAAGACTATCTAGTACATAAGTTCAATCGTGCGATATGTTTGCGTAACCTCTAACATTCTTTCTTTTCTTTTTCTCTTTTCATGACATTCGCAATCCATCCTACACACCGATTTTCTGTGTGTTTTCGCGAACTTCGGGGAATTATCTTTTACTGCTGCTGTGCCACAACAACAGCCGTCCTTGAGCTTAGACAACACCGTGGAAACGTTGCTTATCAAGAATGAAGGTGATTTCATCAGCGTAGAACAGGGCAAAGAGACCTTAACAGCAACTGGAGCAACTGGAGTAACCGCTACCGCCGGCACAATACACACATCGGCACACGCACGCAAGCGTAACTCGCAACAATTGCAACATCCACCACATCACCCAGCGGGTGCACATCATCAACATCAGTCAGCTTCGCAACAACAGCAACAGCAACAGCAACAACAACAACAACAACAACAGAAACGTGATGAAAATATGCGGCAATT